TTGCAGTTGGGGGCTGTTCTGGGAAATCTATCCTGAAAAGGAGGTTCTCAGGGCTTTGGAAGTCTCTTTCCGGGCCCCTGGGTGTGTTACGCCCAAGGGCCGGAATCAGTGTCTAGTTTCTCGAGAACTAGACGGCGATAATGGCTGAAGACGGTTCGATGTACGAAGTCAGCCAAAGGCCGGAGCTGACCTTGGAAGAGGCGATCGGGTCTGGGGAAGTACCAGAGCCCGAGTTGATGCGTTTCCAAGGATGGCTTGCATGGCGAGGAGGAGACGGACAAAGGCCCGCCCGAAGGAAGGGCGATAGAGTGGGAACGAACGGAAAATTTGAAGCCGACTTGTGGAGAGCTACTATGGAACGGATCTATGGAGAAGATTGGAAGACACAGATGGATGCGAAAGAGCTGGCGGAGCTAGCTCCGTCCTCCGGAGAAGAACAGGAAGAGGAGGAGCTCTTGCCGGAAGCCTCGATCGCTGCGGGTGGTCCCGGGATGGCTGCTGTGCCGCGCGCTTCGTCGCCGGCAGCGTCTCGGATGAGCTCTTCGGCTGGCGAAGGGGACGTATAGTAGCTCGGTTGAAGGCAAAATTGGAAGTTCCGTTTACCCTTCTTACGGAGGATCTCTCAGCCTACTCAGGATCGAGGAAGCGCTGGTTCAGTTGAGTGTTCTGCTCCCCGAAGGGGAAGTCGAGATGCTGCTGTTCCGTGCTGAAGTGTCTGGGGAGCTCGAAGGAGCCTCAGACCCCTTGAGGCACTTGAAGGTCCGGTTTGGGGAAGAGTTAGCCGATGGCTCGGACTCTGTAGAGAGCCAGAGAAGGCTATCAGTCTTGATTCGAATGATCCAAGAGAAAGGAGGTAAGCTGAGCTCTACGGCGGACAAGCTATTCTCTAGTGAGGAAGGCTCGCCGCCGAGGGCTGCCCCGGCTCAAGTCTCTCCGGTGGCTCGGTCTCTCTTTAAGGGACCCGAGGCTGCTGTGATGAGTGAGCCCGGGAGGGTTGCGAACCTTGGTGCTCTTGGAGGAGCGCTCGGTGAAAGCGGTGCCTCTGTGGTAACGGAGGAGGGCTAGCCGAAGTGCTAAAGAAGCAGACGGAGCTGCTCCAGCTTGCGCTGGAGAAGAAGCCGCCCAAGAGGTCGACAATCCAAGTGACGCCTAAAGTTCAATGGCCGGTGCTGGACGACGACTGCAGCGACTTTAGGTCGGTGCAGGAGTTTTACGACCAGTTTGAGGCGACCATCGCCCTGGCGAACGATGGCGAAGGAATGTCGGATGGAGACCTTAGTCACCTTGAAGGCATGACTAAGGCAACATCGGCTGAAGTCTTACGAGCTGATCTACAAGCGCCACTTGAACGACGGCTCCCTCACGAGAGATCCCGGCGCAGTGTATCTGGCTGTGAAGCAGAAACACCTGCTGGATGAGTGGGAGAGGCTGCATAAAGGACGCCTCTCCGCTCATCAATGGGAGGTGCTTTGGGAGGAGAAGCTTGGAGAGAGAGAAGCCGTTGGGCTGGGTATGACCGCCAGGGAAACCTGATCCAGTACTTGAGGAAGATCGGTGATCAGCTGTCACGTGAAGTAAGAAAAAGACAAAAGGTACCGAGAAGGCGCTGCTGGAGCACGAGAGTTTCGGGGAGTAGCCACGTGGGAAGAAGCGCATGAAGTAGTCAAGGAGTACGAAGCAATGAATGCGGGACAGCGGGCTCTTCAGAACTCTTCGTTGTCGGTTGGAGGTCCTCAGGTTGCGACTTCGCCCGAGGACTCCAGCGCAGACAAGAAGAAGAAAAAGAAGAAAGAGCGAGAGGAGGCAGATTCCTCTCTGCCCCTGGACGCAAACGAGAAGAAGAAGAAAGTGTGCTTCTTGATGCGCGACCACGGTAGCTGCAAACATGGAGACCGGTGCGAGTATAGCCACGAGAAAAGTCTTGTCGAAGCAGAGAGAAAGAAGAAGCAGCGGCAGCCAGTTCCTCAGGGAAAGGAAAGGGAAAAGGAAAGAAAGACAAAGGAAAAGGAGGAGGTGACAAAGAAGGCGGTGAAAAGCGCCAGGCCTGCAGGTTCTGGTTGACAGCTCGGGGCTGCGACAAAGGGGATTCCTGCCCGCACAAGCACGACAAGGGAGCCAAGAAGAGGTTCCTAGCTGAGGTCGCTAAGGCGGCAAAGGGTACGGGAGCTCCTGGGGTTCAGCTCGCTACCGCAGAAGGCCCAACGGGTGTGGGTGCTTCGGCGATGGCTTGCGAGAATCCTTTCGTGTGTTTTGAATCGGTGCTGGAGGAGAGCGGGGAGCCGCGGAGCGTTCTCGCCCCGGCGACCGCTGACTCCGTTGCGCGTGCTCAGTCTGCCCAGATTCCGAAAACCGAAAACCAAAAGAAAAAGGGGAAGAAGGCGGGCAAAGAGAACGTGGACGGAGACTTCAACAGCATTGATGATCTGCCGAAAGGATGGTTTGTCGACGTGCCTAACTCGAGGGGCGGATATCAGTACAAGTCTGAGGTTGAGATCTTCGGGCGTAAGGTGAGTACCATGTTGGACACCTGCGCAGGCTGCAACTCGGTGACAGAGGAAATGGTTATAGGAATGATCAAAGTAGCTCTGAAGGCCGGGGTGAAGGCGAACAGCACGGAGTTCCCAATCGCCGCTCTCGAGCGATGGTCGATGCCAGAAGTGGTCAACGGACTAGCGGAGGACTCTCCTTTGCCTCTGAAGGGAGGAGTGGTACTCC